TTTACACCCCCACCTTTGACAAGCTAGTTACCACTCCTATGGCTGCTAGTTCCTCCCTCTCCAAGGTTGCTGGTTGTCCACTTGCCAATCCCATAGAATATGGACAAACTGTAGTACTTCAGTACTTCACAATTACACATCCTGAAATCTATTAACAACGAATAAGTTATGCAATTCTTACATGAACCCACTTGAGATCACCTCCACACTCTTAAGCGTGTCCTATGATATCTGAAGGGAACAATTGATCTTGGTTTTACTTTCACCTCCTCTTCCTTGTTCCATCTTTCGACCTTCTCAAATGCTGACTAGGTTGGTTGTCTAGATGACAAGATGTTTCATATTGGCTTCTACATTTATCTTGGACCTTATCCAAGTCCACTATTTCTCACTCCAACATGGAGTCCAAGTATAGGAGTATTGTCCCTTCCACTTCAGAGATCATTTGGCTTCGCTCTCTACTTGCTAAGTTGCACATAATTCTAGCTCAAATTCGATGTGATATAATTATCATATATCCGATTTGAATCTTGCTCAAATTTGATTTAGTGAAAAATTCATTATGAAAATCTACACTATTGTGAGATCCGAGAAGCTCATGACCGGCTCAAAGAGTTGGAGTTGCCACCCATTTTTTTAGAAGAAATGGGCCCTCATTTTTGGGTTTGAATAGAGTCGGTTTAGGCCTTTGATAGTGACTCCGTCCTCCATGGAAAAGGCACACAACCGAGAGATTTCGGGTCCAAAGGATTGAGAGAGGGAGGGTGTTAGGCACCCCTCTCTCCAAGCTGCTATTGCAACCCAACACGGGAGTTATCCAGGCTCAATTTCTTTCAAAGAAAACAGAAATGGTTGCAAGATTTTCTTAAATCTGGAGGAACATGATTTCAACTCCTCCTAAGACCGATTTTGAGGTGATGTTATCGGGTCTTAGATACTAATTTCCCTAAGACCCTTGCCTATCTGYCTCTACTCTCTATCAAGAAGAAATTGCAAGCAATGGTTCTCCAACATTTCAGAACCTCAAGTAACTTAGAAAAACTAAAAAAAAAACTTACCTTTCATATGTGCCTTGACAGGAGTTTTCCAACAAATCGAAATGAGGTAGAACAAAGTTTGAATGGGTTCTTGAGCTAGGGAGTGCTTTCGGTTGCAGCAACTTCTGCTTGAAAATGGATGAGGCGAATTTGAAATATGGGGTTTAGATTACTTCCGAGTTTCAGGTGAACAAGAGGTAGTATGGGTTGGGTGAAAGCTCCCTTTTTCTCTTTCTCTCTCTCTAGGAGACTCCCTCAGGTTTTCTCTCTTCTATCCCTTCCTCAGGTTGCCTCTCAGGTCCTCCCCCCAAGCTCGAGCTGGGCCTCTATTTATAGAGAAAATTGAAGGAAATGGGTCTGAAATTAGCTCAGCTACAGTGTCTGTGACTGAGCAAAGTTTTTTCACTGAAATAGGTAAAGATTCCTCAAAGAAATAGGTGTCTAGTCAAGCTTTCTTGTTTGGTTAAACATTTTATTCGATTTGGGGGTGATTTTTACGAGTTTTGTGCGTCCAATGGGAGATTTGGACATGCCAGGCGTTGCAGTATTGTATTTGGGGCTAACAGTGGCTAAACATAAATTTGATGAACTTTTAAATGTGGTTGTTTTTTCTTAGCTTTAAGTAGGGGTCTATTTGGTATTTAAAGCTTTTTGGGTCTATTAAGCTCTGTTTGATTGGTACAAGTGTTTTAATGGGTCAAGAATGGGTCTGACATCATTTTCACCCTTTTGAGACTTTAGGTTGGGACAGATGACGTAGCAATTTAATCTAGTGCGTCGAAATGGTATCTTTCTAGTTTAATGGCCAAATAGATGAATCTGGTCATGACATTTGGTGTCCTGGGTTTTTTTGGTTCTATGAACACAGTGGTGAGGTCTGATCAGACAAATGGGGTCAGGATGATTGAGATCTATGGCTGACAAGTTCGGATCAACGAGCTTGCTGAAACAGAATATTTGTTTGATGAAGGGTCAAACGGGGGAATTTTGGGATGAAATTTGGTGGGTTGGAACTTTTGAACGTTCTAAATCAAATGGAAGTGATGGATCTTTGATCAGAGGTGTGGATTGATTGCTTCAGATCATGGTCTTAGCTTGTGTTTTCCAATCAACGAAAGGGTTCAAAATGGAATCTTACTTTTTCAACGGTCAAAGGGAGGTGTTTGGTCATGAGATTTGACATGCTAGGGTTTTTTTGGTCTCTGAACATAATGGTAAGGTCTGATTTATCATGTGAARTTGGGATGATGGATGGTAGGCTCTAATTAATGAGATTTGTTGGAATAGGATCTAGGCTTGATGGGGGTTAAGCGAGGGAATTTTGAGCTACAATTTGGTAGGTAGGCACGGATTAGGGTGAGCAATCAAGTGGATGGTTCTGACCTRAGAAATATATGGTCAATCTGGGCCATCCGAATGGGATCTTGATGTTTTTACGGTTGATCATCGTAGATTTGTGATGAGATTCACTAGTTGATTGCTTCCTAGTGGTCTTGAGGTGATGGGCATGCTGGATTTGTTTTTGAGAAGTTGGAGTTTGAATGTTGCATAGATCGGAGGCCGTTAGAAAGGAAGTTGGTATGACGAACGATGGATCTTTGCAGTTTAGTCAGGAATATTGATGTGTAACTAAGTTGTAGTTTTTCTAGTCTGGGGATGGTGTCTGATCGAATGTTGATGTTGATCTCAATGTTGTTATTTTTCTTGTGGATTGTGTCAAAGGAAGGCATTTTGGATGTTGGAAAGTCTCAAGTTGATCTGGTTGTATTTCTAAGTTTTTAAGGTCTAAGAGGAGGGTACAAAAATGTAGGGTGAAGGGACCGAGCAAAAATTGGGTGCTAACAAATATAGCAAAATTTTCAAAACATGAACATGCCAGTTGAGTTTCTAAAGGCTAATTAACTTGCATCTAATAACAATGACCAATTAATGTTTGTGGTGTCAAGTGTTCAATAATTTGATCTAAAAACCTTCCATCATGGTCTCATATGTTTGATGATCTAACCTAAAACCCTGAAATAGAAAAAAAAATGTATGAAAACTATGAAACAACGAAAAAATAAAACTAAAGAGAGAAAGAAAGAGATAGAGTCAAAGAGCAAGAGAGAGGGAGGAATCTAGAATCATAGTGATTGGAAGATGACTGAAAGATGATCATTTAATAATCATATTATGCAAAGCTCCAGCAATTAGAGAGTTAGAATTTCCAAATAAATTATAGATACCCTAATGCTGAATCCACACAGGAGAGGAAACTGGCTTTTCTCCTCTAATTGTTTGGGTTCTTGGACCAAGAAATATCAAATGTTTTGAATCTTCCTGAATCATTGTAACTAGTTGAAGATAGTGCAACTGGATGTGTTTGCGGTATTGGATTTCTTTTCCAAAATTTACAACAACAAAGTTCGACCTTTCACACGAGTTATTGGCTAATAGGTTAGGTCGAATGGGGTTAAAAACCTTAGCTAAAAAGTTATCATAAAGCTATACCGATTTCAGTGGAGAGAACTTGCACTTTTGGATCCCCACCTACCACTCTTTATTTATAGACCATGGAAGGATACAAGAGCCCTCTCTTTTATCTATCTGTGATTTTCATATGATACTTTTAGTTATCTATTAGCATTTTAATAATTCTAGAAAATACTCAACCAGTTAGGAGATTACAACTTGTATGGCATGGGACCCATAACTTAATGGGAGAGCCCAAATGTCACATGCTTTATGTAAATTAAGTGGGCCTAATTAATTATTTAATTAGTCTACAAGGCTAATTTGATAATAACTGTTATGAGCTTAAGTTATCAAGCTCATTAAGTGTCTAAACACTTAAAACTAATTGGGACCTTACCATCCTAAGACCCAAGTCTATTGGTGCAATCCATTATGTTATAATCAATTCAATACAAACCAATTAATCACTTGGAATTAATCTCTGATTTGCTAATAATGCTTGACACCACATTAAGGGAAATACTTTTTCTCTCTTTGTCTTTATGACATATGATGCAAACTTCCAACACCATTCATTAATGATTCAGATAATTCTATTATGGTAGATTCAGGACTCTCTATAAACTATACTCTATTTCTTAACATAGTAGTATAAACTATCACATTGATCATTAATCGGCATACCATCCTCAAATGTGCTAACATACTTAGGTATTTGATCCCAGAAGGATTGCACCAGTTATCATATCAAAGACATACAAGTCCAATACTCAATCTAATATCAAGGTCAACTCTAGGGATTAAAAACAACACCTAGTTGTTCGACCTATCAAAAAGTCTAAAAACATTCTAGGTTTGGTCTAATTCAATGTTTCTTGTAAACATTCATTCTCACAACTTAGTTCACAACCCTAGCAGTTGAAACCCATTTCTCTACCACCTTGAGTAGTGTGAGTATGACAATCATGTTAGGATAGACTTCCCTAAGTGTATCAATTGGTTGTGAAGATTTAAGTCCATGTTATGACAATTATGTTGTGTCATACACAATTCTAAAATGAATTAAGGGGATTTATTAGAAAAACCTAATAACACATGAAAGAACCGTTCTTTTATTCATAAGAAAAGTGTGTACAATACATTAGCTGAAGTTGAGTGCATACACACTATCTAACAATGATAATGTTCAATCAATTGATAATAATCACCTTAAAAATGAAGAAAATAAGTAGGACAATAACCAAACATTGAAGGTGGTGTTTGAAATTGTAAGCTCATGGAGGTAATGGTTTATATCCTAAAAGCATGACGATTTGGCTGGATGCAATGGTAAAGAGAAAAGGAGAAGAAAGAGAGGAAGTATTGGTTGGACCTCAGAGGGGCTGCCTACATACCCTGTGACGAGGGATCAGGCCAAAGTAGTTTGACGGAGAAGGAGAAGGAGGATCTTGATTCATGATCAAACTCATAATAGATAATAGATAGACATGAAGAAAAGGATATATACAATCAAAAACGGACCAAACTCTCCCTGAAATGCACGATTTGACCTTCACCGGCAGGACATCCCCTCAGCCTCAAAAGTGTAGACACCTTGTTATTCTTGATATTATAAGATACAATTTCCGTGGGAGGGAATATATAAAATACAATGTCATCTTCCTCTTGAATGTACATGGGGAATGCCGTCCACTTCAATCTGGACATCCAAGGGCTAGGTACCTCCGGAGCAATATCATACCTCTCCAAGCCGATGATGGCATACTCTTTGGTCCAGGTATGCTTGTTGCAATCTTCCATCATCCATATATCTAACTGATTCACACAGAGTTCCACAAAACACAACTTGTCTTTCAACACCACCAAGCACTTTGAGTACATGAGGCCAGAAGTCAGAGTTGGAGGTTGAAAATCTCCAAACGTTTCATTTCCAACATCAAAGAAAACAACYATCAAATCATTTAGCGGATAAAATCTGCTGCAGCGTCGAGAATCACCAATCCAATATATCTTTCCATCCAAATAGACAGAATTCATGTCACGCAGAGGATAACTGGGAGGATTGATCCTTCTCCATGAACAAGTAGTAGAAGAACCACCACCCAGAGTGAAGACTCGGCATTCGTAAATTAGGTTATCTTCATCGCTTACAAAGATTCCCCTGTAGTTCCTACAAATGGCATGAACCATTTTATATTGCTTGGTGTGTGGATCGAATCCAAAGCCAATAGCTACTTCATGGTTTAAAACATCTGGACGAGGACATGGAGGCTGGAAGGTTGCAATTTGTTTAGTGATGGGATTGATAATGAAAATAAAATCTCCGTACATACATATCAGACCATTGACGGATGGTAAGATCATAAGACTCTTTTGATTGCGGTACGATCCGAGGGTCGTACGCTGCCATACATGAGGAGAAGTAGAACTACTTGTATCGACCAAATACAGGACTACTGACCCATCTACCTGACCATGAAGGAACATCAAGTGCATGGATTCTTGTCTTGTCTTTCGTTTCTGCAGGTGTCGGTAGGTGAAATACGGATCATTGATCATGGAACACCACGATTTGCATACACACTTGAATCTTAAGAGAGATTTGCAGGGACATCTCAACAGAATCTCCAACAACGTTTCTGCCGACTCCATCCTGCCTAGCCTTATGCTTAATTTTTTGGGTTTTGATCAACTTGCTTCATTAATTTGGTGGCCGTATATAAAATAAACAAACAGCATAACAAACTCCTAACAGCTACATCCGATTGTGATGGGATATGTTACTGCGTGCTGCCATCCGTCATTTTGGGGGAAGTTCTAATCTAATATCATTTTGGGGGAATTTCTAATATATAAACAAAATGAATTAGACATATGTCAAATTCTTATTAGTGATAGTTCAAAAAAAAAAAAACCAGACTATACCCACCACCATGCAGAGTTGTGAAAAGTGAGAAGCTCCCACTTTTAATCATTTTTTGAAAAAAGAAATTGTGCTATTAATTACTGTTAACTACTAAATTAATTAATTAATCCCAGCTATTGATTATTAATAATATTTACCTTCTAATTAATTAAGTACAACTATTAATTACTAATAATAATTATTGTTAATTACTAATTAATTACATTTAACTACTTCTAATTAATTAATTCTAGCTATTAATTACTAATAATAATTATTCACTGATAATAATTAATTACTTAAAATAATTTCTTTTAATAATTAATAGAAAATTTTAATTATTTAAAACTATTTGGACAGATAATTAATTATTAATTTTAATTTCTTAAAATTATTATTTACTGAATAATTTTAATTACTCTTTGATTAATGACCTTATTTTTGAATAATTGGTTTTTTATGTTCAAGAATTTTTTTTGCAAAAGTTCAAATAAATTTTCTTTTGCAATGCTAACCATTTTATTTTTCTTTTATTCAGTTTTCCAAAAGATAAAATAATAAATTAATGATATTTCCCTATTTTTATCAAATTATGTATTTATCAAGTTGTTGTCATTTATGATGACAATGATGATGAGTCAACTTTTTGAAAGAGAGGGGTACTAATAATAATTAATGACTTCTAATTAATTAATTTCAGCTATTAATTACTAATAATAATAACTCACTAATAATAATTTGATATTAACTAATTGCTGATAATGTTTCTCATTATTAATTCAAAATGATAATTAATAACGATTTTCATAATGATAATTAATAACGATTCTCTGTACTTAGTATGGGGTCATTCACTGGTTATTAGAGATAAGAGGATGAGGTGTTATTTAGACTCGGAACGTTATAATTGTTTTCTTGGAAAAAAACACTTAGAATGGTGGCATCTAGACCTGTTCATGGGCCGGGCTCGGGCCGGGCTTTCACTTGTCACTAATGAAAAGATACTAGGCCTGAGCCCGAGCCCGGCCTGACCAACGGGCTTATAACTTGGGCCCGAGCCCGGCCCTGGTAAAAAGCCCGAAACCTGAGCCCGAGCTCGAAGCCCGACCTAATTTAAAAAAAACAAATTTCCCTATTCAAATTAGAATTAAAAATTCAAATAGTATTTTTTGTTCTATTTAAATGAACAATGGGCCTACAAGATGGTATTTTTCCCTTTCTTTTATATTTTAAAATACAATTTTACATTCTTAAATAAAAAAAAATTATTCAAATGGACATAATCACATAACTAAATTTAAGTTTAATATTAGGTCGGGCCGGGCTATTTTGACTCAAATTTATTGTGGGCCGGGATTTTTGGCCCAAATTTAAGCCCGCGGGCCTATAAGCATGTTCAAGCCCGTCCGGGGGTCAGGCCGGCCTGTCGGGCCACCCGGCCCATGAACAGGTCTAGTGGCATCTATGCTGGTACGGTTGATAGTATTTCTTTTTTCTTTTCATGGGATGCACAACCCATCGGGCCATGGTAAGTGGTAACCCATCCCCCAAATACAAAGACGGGATTTAATTGGTCCCAAATCTCTCTTACAAGTTACAACCAACCAAAGGCCTTACCAACTAGCCAATTGGCACCTTGTGATAAGTTTGATACAATGCATACTGTTATAATTAAAGAAAGTAAGAATTAAAATTTCAATAATTACTTAAATATTTTAACAAAATTACATATTTATTAAAACAAAAAATTTCATTATAATAGATTTAATACTATTTATATTATTAATAATTTTATATTTTTACAAAATTATGTACTAACAATATAAATTATAATTTTATGGATTATTCAGTTTAAATGATATTCAAATAATGAAAATCTAACACTAAAAGACAAAACATTATTTAAATATTTAAATGACTAAATATCTGAAATAACAAAATTCTAAAAATAGCTAAATAATTATATAACAAAGTATTTAACGAAAAACTTTAAATATTTAATGTATTATTTAAATATTCAAATAACTAAAAACAATAAAATATTTAACATAAGTAAATTTTAAATAGTTAAAACAATGAAATTATGTAATAAATTTAAAAATTTCTTAAAATTAGAAAAATAATTATAATAGAATTCATAATATTCAAATTAATAATAATTTAATATTTACAAATTAATAATGAAATTATGAATTCAATAGTAAACATTTTAGTTTTTTCAGATTATTAAATTCAACAAATAATTAATATTTTAAAAAATTAAATAATGATATTATTTAAATAACTAAATAATATTGTAAATAACTAATTTCAGGTATATCAACTAACAATTGTATTAAATAATATTAAAAATTTAATCTATATTTTTTATATATTTATAAATAATAAAATTTATATTTATTGTATTTTTAGTAATTATTTATTGTTTTTTGTGATAAATGTATTTTCATTAATTGTGTATAAATTTATTTTTATTGTGTTATTTAACAGAAAATTTTCAAAAGTTATTAGAGATTAAACTATTCTTATTTAATTTTTTAAATTTAATTTATTGTACTTATTGTATTTATTTTATTTTTATTATAAATTTATTTTCAGTAATTATGTATTCTTATTATAATTTATTGATTAATATATATTATAGGTTCAAGTATTTTTTGAGATTACACTATTTATTGACTAATTTAATATTTATTATATTTTTATAATTATTGTATTTATATTAGTTATTTATTGTATTTTAATTATAAATTTATTTCCAATAATTGTGTATCTTTGTTATAAATTGTCAATAGTTATTGGAGATTAAACAATTGTTATCTATTGGAGATTAGTCTATTAATTTACTTAAAATTAGGAGTGTTCATGGGGTGGTTTGGTTCARTTGCAGACTATTTGGCTAACCAAATCAACTTGGTTAGGTTAGGGAGTTGGTCACTCAAAACTAACTTACCATTAGTGAAAACTGTCCAACTCGATTTTGTATCGGTGTGGGTTGACTTTCGGTTTGATCAATCGATTGAAAAGATTTAAACTTTAAAAATTAAGTTTATGGTATAAAATAGTTTAGTCTTTAGACTAATAAGTACGAGAATTTTCTCATTTTTATATATTAAAAAATTATATTTAAAATTTAAAATATTAATATATATTTATGGTCAAGTAAGTTCAGTTTTGGTCAGTTTACAAATTGCCAAACCAAAAGACCCAACCTGGTTGGATTGGGAAGTTGTTGAACCAAAACCAATCGAAAATATTAGAAAACCGACCAAAACCAATCGAGTTTCATCGATTTGATGAACCCTAGATGAAATTAATTATTATTATTATTATTATTATTATTATTATTATTATTATATTGTAAAAAATATTAAAAGTAATATATAAAATATAAGTAATTATTAATTATTAAAAATGTTAAAGTATAAAACAATTATATACTCTTATGTGTTTCTATTACTTAGCTTTCGCTTAATAAATCCCATGTATTGCATGAGTCCCCGCTAGTACTTATATATAACGCAAATCAATCTACATCAACATGCCTCTCCTTTCTCTAAACCCTCCTTCTTGCTTCCTTCTTAACTGTCTCTCCTTACTCCATTCCCCCATACCAACCCTTCTACATATAGGTAGCCATGTGGCATCCCTCAACATTACATGGAGAACTCCCAAGCATTAAGTATGTGTTTGGTATAGCTTTTTGTTTATGGGTTCGCATCTGCCCCCAAGGATTTTTCCCCCAAAATGTTCCATAAAATCGGAACATGACGCATGTCATGAAACACGCGCACTAGGCAAGACACGTGCGAAAGCAATTCGATGTCATTTCCAACACCCTGTTAATGAAACATGCGCCCAAATGGGTTTCTTCTCCCATTCTTCTCCATTCACTTCGAACTGAAACCCTTGATTTCACACGCTTTCATAGCCCACCCACCAATCAAGTTCCGCCGGTCGACGACAGGAATTAAGTAGTCTGTAATGTAAGTTCCAAGTACTATGATTGTCTTATTGTCAGCTATTAAAGCTTTGTTTCCTTGTGGTTTACAAAAGACTTACCTCCTGTCAGTATGGTCATTGGCATCGACCGGTGGGTCATCGAAGGGGGTGTAAAGCGGCGTCAGGGGGCTCCCACTCTGGCGGGTTTAGATCTGTGAATGTTAAAAAACAAATGAGAAAAAACAAAAAACAAAAAAAAAAAGAAATGAGAAAAACTTACATTACAGACTACTTAACTCCTACCAGTATCTGTCRGCCGACGAAACTCGATCGGTGGGTGGATTATGAAAGCGTGCGAAATCAAGGGTTTCAGGGTTTTTAGTTTGAAGTGAATGGAGAAGAATGGGAGAAGAAACCCATTTGGGTGTGTGTTTCATTAATGCGGGTGTTGGAAACGGCATCAAATTGTTTTCACATGCATCTCGCCTAGTGTGAATGTTTCATGACACGTGTCACGTTCTGGTTTTGTGGGACATTTTTGGGGGGAAAATCCATGGGGGGCAGATGCAACCCCTCTGTTAATCAAATAAATGTTTGTACTTGATTTGTCTTCAAAACTTAGAGTACTTAATAAACCGTTTATTGACAACTAGGCACCACATTAGCGTTTTAGTGAATAAATGCTCAACCATTGGGGGAAGCATTAAAATGAGTCTTCCCCCAATGATTGATGTGCACATAAATCAATACTCACTTTTGTAAATATCAATCGTACAGATGAATATGATGAGAAAAATGCTGATTTGGCAATATTATGATGGCGTTTTAATAAACACCTATCATAAAACGTCCACGGAAGAAAACACACACTAAATGTAAAACAAAATACATTGGCTGCTCGATGCAACCTATATTTTTGAATGTCTTWTAGAACTACAAATATGTAGCCACATTCCCCTTTTTAGCTAAGAGTACTCTATTACGTCTTTGAACATTTTCTTTCCCTAATAACCGCAATAACTTTCTATTCCTCAAACGTATTCACCAATCTTCCCAACAAGCTTTTTTTTCACCTCTCTTCATTCCTTCCAAGTAATGTTCATCTCCATTCCTTTTTAGAAACATTGATTTAGAGGCCGAGTGAGAAAGAACATAAAAAAATTCGTTCTCCCGAGCACTACAAAACATAATTTAGAAAAACGTATGATCATTTTTGTGCCAATTTTTATTTCCAATAATGATCTCCGGCACACCATCTTTGTTTTATTCTAAAACATTTCAATCAACACAAAATAGACCTTGAAACCCAACTAAGCTGATTCTTTTCTTAGTATTGTGACGTGTATAGTGCAACTGTATAATGGTAATTGGTTAGGATTCCATTTTAGTATCGGGATAAGAAGCCCGCCACCCAACCTTTAGCATTATTTTTATGCACAAAGTGGCTGGCTCTTAGACATGAACTTACATTTTCATAGTTCTAGCTAGACTGAAGCTTTACCAATACACTATGCAATGGCTCCCATTTTTACACTAAGATACTATATAATATTTGCCTAGTACTAATAAGCTAGTTTTGCATCCTAAGCACAATATTATGCTATTAGATTTAAATTAATCAAAATACCATATTTCTTCTATGCATGTAGCATATATCTATTGCATGTTAACTCATAACACACCCATTGGTGTTGGTTATAATGTTGTAGGGTATACTTTGGGAATACCATAGGAAGGTTTATGAGAAGTTGGACTCTTATATTCAAGCACAACCAAGTGAATTTATGGGAAGAGTATTAAGGTTCATTGTGGAGATGGTTTTTAATGGAACAATAAATTAAGTATTAAGTTAATTCTTTCACAAAATAATTGGAAATTTCATTTTTGGTTGGAAGTTACAAACTTTTTGTATGGATGGGCCATAATGATTTTTATAATATTTGAATTCTTTTTTGAAAACAATCTTAATGCCTTAGTTTTCAGTTTGCTCAGTCCAATCAAGCATGAAATACCATTTATACTTCGAAGTAGCTTTTACTCTTTCAAAAATAAATAAATAACATTAATTTGTCTTTATCCAATGTCTCAACAGCTAAATCAACTGTGTAATTGATACACTTGTACCATTGTCATATATCTAAAGTTTTTGAGCAAGTTGAATATTTTTCAAATGTTCTGATGATCATATGTATGCAATCAAGGTAAAAGATAGTGAAGAATATACAAGAGTTTATATGCCATAGCCATCTCACAAACTAACATTTTAAAGCTTGAGCTGAAACAATCGAGCGGGTAACTACCCCAAGGTAGTTTTAAGTGATTCCAGAATTTGGTTTCCAAATACAGCTTAGATTTTATCTTTCTTTGTGAAACCAAAATTCTGTTTGAGAAGGCTTTATATATGCTAACTCTTACATTATTCCTCATAAAGGCCAAGCCAAAGGAGTAGCTTTATTTTGGAAATCTGGAATAGATGTCACCTTTTGCTATAAGCCAACATGTATGCTTTCCTCGAGATTTCCTCTTATCCTACCAAACATCCTTCGATGCCTGGTTTTGGGTATGGCCAGTTTTTAAAACATAAGAGAAATCATTATTGGTTGAATTTAAAAATCACGACTGCTTCATGGTAATCTTCCCTTTGCATATTGGAGACTTTGAACGAATCTGTGGTGATTGATGCCAAGGCCCTAGTTCCTCCAAGGTTACTACTACTACTAGAAAGGTTCTTGTGAATTTTGTAACCTTATTTTTGAATTGGAACTTCTGGAAATATCTCTCCAAGGATGGGGAATTGCTTGGTCCAATCGGACCCTTACATCTTTTACTCCAGGAGGCCAACACATGGGTGGAGATAAAATGCATTTGGTGGAAGAACTATTTCCATCAATCCCGCCTTTGATGTAGTAATAAAAACACTGGTTGCGCATTAATCCATGTTTCCCATTGTGTCAATAGTGCTGATGGAACTCTTCTTCACGTGTTACATTATTACTGTATTGCCTTGATGCCCAAGCGGCCTGGTTAGGTAGGTTCATGGCTTTATTTGAGACTTACGGTGTAGCCTCTTAATAATGTCAAAGAGCTTATATATTGTTGTGCGGTGGTGTAGAGATATTGCAGCCTACACTTTTGCCGATGGATGGCTTTTAAGGGGTGCAATTATCATGAAGCATATATTGTATTTCAAACACACTCAATTGTTTGAGCATGTACAATTTGATCATACCTTTATTATTGTGAAAGTCAGATGATGATGGATGTTTTGTTGCTAGATGAGTACTGCTTCCACGATTGTTAGTCATCCCACTGCTTGGCTTAAGCTAATTGTTGCTGTTGCATCCCTGAAAAATAGTTGTAGATGCGGCTTTTAAATCTGATTATTGGTCCAATTGGTTTGGTACTTCGACACCATTAAGGGTACCTTAGTTTGGCAAGAGCTAATCCCATCAAACGTAGCAGCAGCTTGGATATTGATGAAGCTCCAACTGTGTGTCATGGCATTTCATTGTTACAACAATTACAGTTATCTTGTATTGATATTGAAGTTGATGTGGAAAAAAAAAATAGTAATCTCTTATTCTCTTGTTGGTGGGTCACAACATTCCACCATGATGGCTAACTCATATCATATCCACCTAGAGGGGTGAACTTTGTTCGATGATACGCAAACAAGACTCCTCATATTGTAGCCAGTAAAGGTGTATCTGTCTACATCTTTTACATGATAGGTTGCTCTTGATTTGTTGAGATAACAAGAATATTATCTTTTCTTGAAAAGTGGTGAAGTATATTAAAGAAAAAAAGGCATACAAGTTGTATACATCAAAAGGATGAGGAGAGTTCCCCAGGTACACACCCTAGACAAACAAAGAAACTTCGGCCCTAAAAAACATCCCAGGCCAGGCCAAGAACCCAAACAAGTTGTATACACCCGGTAGAGGCATATCGGACAGTATCAATAGTTTTTTTTTTTTTTTAGTTCTTTTAAATCCAATTCAGAGGGGCCGGTTTAAGGTCCGTCCACCTCTTGAACTGGTCGAAACCCCAATACACCCTCTGTAGGGGCATATCGGAAAGCTCCCAATACGATACGTATCGATACTTTGAACCTTGATCATACATTGATTTGTTTAAATGCACGATAGTTATATGGCCCCCACCACATACTATCATTTATTTCTTTTAAGATAATCACTTCACTTAATCCTAATTGAAAATACCAAAACCTTAATAACATATTTTATGTTTTTTGAATATTTTATTCTTTATCTCCTCTTTATTATAAATCATAACTTATAATAAACTGTAGTCATTTCAAACACTTTTTTTTTAATTTTGTACTTAGAAAACCAATAAAAATATCAACAAATACTAATAAAACATAGGTTTAATATATGTAGTGAAAGTTTAGTTAATATGTGAGATTAAGAAGTTTTACAAGATTTTAAGGGATGAAAGGAAGGTTGGGTTGGGCCCAACCCAAAGCTGGCTTCGGATTGTGTTAAGGTTGAAGGAATTTAGCTAGGGTAAGGGTTGAATAAGTCAGGTTGGGTTAGGGTTAGGGTTAGGGTTGGGGGTTTAAAACTTAAGGTGGGGCTAGGGTTGGCCTCAACCCGACCTAACCCGGCCCAACTTGTAGCCCTATCCCACTTTAAGAACCCAATTCACTTTTTAAGAGTAATTCCGCTGACAAACTGCACAGAAACGTGCAACAGAAGACAATGGTTTACCTTCTTCATTCAAGTGTTTTCATTTATGGTTTACATTTTATTTGAATTTTACGGTTTAATGAGGTAATTAATAATTACTGATGTTTCTGATACAAACCCTTCCCATTGCCGGAACAAGTTTGTATCTGACCTCGAGCTGTGGTGCTGAAGCACCGCTCAAAGAGGGTTTTAGCAATCACAAACATCATCGAAGAAGAAGAAGAAGAGTTTAATCGTCCAATGCCTTTATTTCAGTATTGATTGATTATATATGGGAAGCCGATACAACTGTCAATCAAGCCTAATGATTACAATCATGGGTCACGATAATGTGCAACGATGATTACTGTAATGACTGTTATAACAGTTTGCAGCCTTTGATATTCATTCTTTATGACGATTAGGATGATGGCCACGTCAGCAGGTTTATAAGTGATTTGTAACCCCAGGGCTCCTGTAAAGGCTCGTATCAGTTTCAAGCAATGGGAAATTGCAAAATTGCAACTTGCAAGGATGATAGGTTGGGTACTTGGGTTTCAGTTGTACAAAGCAGAATAAACTTCAAAGATCAGGTCAGGAGATGAGTAGAGAGAAAATGCCAAGGAACCATGGTGATTTATTTTGGCCACAACATTTTACAAAAAAAAAATAATAAGAAGAAGAAGAAGAAGAAAAGATTCATCAAAAAAACATTTTACAAAAAAAAAAAAAGAACCAGCAAAATTGATCGCAGAAGAAAATTATGCCGTACAAGAATACTGGGATACAAGCAAACTCCTTGGACTCACCAAATCATGAAGATCATGAACAATCTTAAAAACTGCATCTGGCTTTGCCAGCTTTAATGCATTCTGAGACATGGCCTTAAGCTCATCAGTCTTTGGACCAAACCATTGAGCAACAATATTGGCTATTCGTTTTGGCGATTTTGAGAACTTTCCACATCCATTTTCCACCACATAGGGCACGTTTCCCGCTTCCTGCAATGTTAAAAGCAAATCAGAATATGCTCAAATTTAGCAGGAAAAACATATCGGAAGTCTAACCGAGATATATCATGCATATGATACCGGAAATAAATATATTGTGCATATGAACCTACTTGATTTATTTCTACGAACATCTTTCTTAGTTTATTGGTTTAAGTTCTAACCGGTGGTTCTTTACAGGAAAGTATGCTCCTTAGGAAACCAAGGTTGCTTATTTGAAATTTCCAGTATTTTAAATGGTTTTGACAGGTAGGATTAGAACCCACAACAGTCTAGTACAAGTGAAATTTAGAAGAGGTTGAACCTTTTTTTTTTTTATCAATAACATCATTTTCATTAAATTAAGAGAAGAGAGGGAATAAGTATACAAAGGGGGAGATAAAATAACTTAGCTCCCCAAAAACAGAAAACACAGGGAATGCAAAGAAAAATATTAAAAACTAGCCCAAAAAAACAGCCTCCCTATTCACTCCTTGCTTGGCCAACCCATCCGCAAATGAATTGGCACTCCTTTTCACCCAGTTGTACTGAATCTCAATGTCCCTACCCAGCCATAAGAACTGTTTTTTTTCATTGTTAAAGTTCCACAAACCACTGTGCTCTGTCTTCAACCAACTAACCACCACCTTCGAATCACCTTCCAGAATCAAGCGGCTAATATTTAATTCCTTTGCTCTTCGAATACCTTCAAG